GGGCGCGGCGCGGCGCGGCGCGGCGGCCGGAGCCCGGCGGGGAAGTCTTCCCAGATCTGGACAAGAATCACTTTGCAAAACCGGCAGACCTCGGCGCGGCTGCTGACTCTGGAGCTCCGGGCTGTGGCTCCACTTCCTCCTTTTCCCTCGGCTAGCTCTCCGCTCGCTCAGCTCAGAGCCGCAGCCGCTGCCGCCGCCGCTGTCATCCTAGCCGCCCACCCCCACCAGAGCTGCAGCCGGAGCCGAGACGAGCCGAGAAGAGCCGAGTTGAGCCGAGCCGAGGCAGCCCCGCCCAGCGCCTGAGAGCATGGGAGCGAGCACGGCCCCGTCTGGAGGGGGCGGAGTCTTCTGAGGCCCCGCCCCTAGAGCCCGGGCGAGGGTGGGGCGCGTGCCTGCAGTCCTCCGCAGGCTGGGAGCCGTCGGGCGGCGGGAGCCAATCGGACACTGGGGAAAAGGGCGGATCTCTGCGGAATTTGGTCTCTACCTCGGAAAGGGCGGGGCAAACTGAGGAGAGGTGAGGCCGGAGAGAGGACAATGCACGGGTTGGGGTCCTTAAAGAACTGGGCTGGGAGGCTGGGGATTTAGCTCAGCGGCAAACGCGCCTGCCTGGCAAGCTCAAGGTCGTAAGTTCGATTCCCGGTACCGGAGAAAAACCAAAAAAAAAAAAACTGGGCTGGGGACTGACTTCCCTAGGGACGCGGATGGAGGAGGGAGAGGCGGGCACAGGTTGCCGGGATGGGGGCGTGATCCCTTCCGTGGGGGGGGTGAGGAGATGAGGGCGTCCTGGCGAAGGAACAGAGGATGAGAAAAGTAGCAGGGGTGAGGCAGGGTGGGGGGTACGCGGGCCGGAGAGTGGGTCCCAGGGACTGAGGAGTAGGGCGGTGGAGCGACACCGCCCTCCGCTTCCTCTTCCCCAGCTTCGAGGCTCGCTGTGCCGAGGTGAAAGTTCGGGTCTGTGAGATGTTCTGATTTTAGGAAGCGGCGAAAAATACGTTTTTGAAAGTAAAAGAACACGTCTCTTTCCGCACTTCCCCTTCTCCATCGTTTATCGCCAGGGAAGGGAGTCAGTTTTGAAAAGATGAAGTCAAGAGCAAAAGCGTGTGGGACAGCACACCTCCAACCGTGCTGTGTCTGCCGTCTGCTCGCGCCCCTCCCCAGCCCGCGCCTAGGGTGCCAGAGCTGCCCCTAATGTGTCCCTGAATCCCTCGCGCAGGGGCGGGCACAGAGCAGGCGTTGGAGGGGTTTGATGTATGAATGAATGTTGAATGTGTGTGGGGGCGATGTGAAAGCCACTAATTGGTCTGGGGAGCAAATAAATGGTGCCACCGCACAGCTTCTCCGTAAGCACCACAGCATTCTTATCCGGCAGGAGCCCCACTTCACGGTGGAGGAGGCCACGTGATGTTCCCCCCGACTCCCCAGCTGGCCCAGATTGAATCCACCCAACATTATCGCCTTCCAGGGCAGAGCAGCGTGGCTCTGAAAGGTTAGTTTACCTTTCTGAGCTTCTGTTTGTCATCTCAAGAAAGGATCAAGATGCTGGGACTTGACAGGGGAAAGACTGAGGACCAGGAGGGCAGCGGGTTTCAAGGGGTAGAGGGAGGGGCGTTCCTGGCAGAGGAAACAGCCTGTGCAAAGGCACAGAATCTGAAAGAGTGCTCTGGAGGGGCCCTGTCCTGTTCTGAGTACCAGAGGTGGGCCGAGGCCAGAGAGGCTCGGGAGGCTAGCGGAGGAGGGGGCTCTGGGTAGAGCCCTGGAGGTGAGGGAGCACTACGCTCTGTTGAAGGACCCAGAAAAGTAAAGGATGGCTGGAGCTTCCAGGGAAGGGGCTCCAGAGTCCAAGGGAAGAGGAGTCTGGAGGGGCAGGCGGGGTTCAGAGCTTATACTCTGAAGGCCACAACTGTTCGTGGGCCTGAGCCCAGCAGGGTGGTTGGAGAACCCTGAGTTTGGACTGACTGGTGGTCCAAGGGGAGTGCTGAGGAGGCCCAGGCGCCCTGGAGGCCTGGCCCAGAGGCTGCCTAGTCCCCACTAGAGTCCACCAGCCCAGCTGTAGTGGCCCAAAGAACAAGGACAAGGGTGGAATGAGGTGGGAAATGCCCTCTCAGTCAAGCCCCGAGGGAGTCAAGGTTAGCCCTAGGAAGCTGGACCTTTGTGTTGACCTTTGTAATGGTGCTAAGAAACATTGTGCTTTCTCCTTTTGCCCAGAACCTTCTCTGGCTCCCACTTACCAGCATGATCAAGCCCTAAGTCCCCATTCTAGCGTTTCAGCCTGTCTGCCAACCACACCAGCCTTAATCCCCCACTTCCTCCCCAACCTTCCCTGCATCCCATTTGCCTCAGCGCAGTCAGCAAGCAGAAGGCATTCTGTGTGCAGCTCCCCCATGCGGTCTCCTGTTGCTGCCCTTCTCTCCTGAGGTAATTCCTGCCTCCATGCTGGTCTCAAGGGAAGAAGCTGGAGGCCAAAGGCTCATCTGCCCTCACTGCTGCTGTGTTCTCAGAGCCTACCACAGGGCTTGACACACAGTAGGAGCTTGGCAAGAATGGTAGTTATTCACGTCCTCTCAGGTCGACAGCCGCCTCCTCGGAGAAGCCCTCCGGAACTCCTTCTGGCCGCCTGCCTTTGGTCTGGCTTGCTTGGCTTGACGGTTCTGGGATTATGGGTGTCTTGTTTCCCCTACTGGGCTGGGAGCACCTCGGTGGTACTGTGCTCCCAGCCCCCACCGCCTAGCCCAGTGCCGGGGAGCCCTCTTGAGATCTCATCACTGAGAGACGAATGAATGAGGTTCTCAGAGCAAAGCTGTCTGGCTGGCCCCGCTGGGAGAGCTGCCTCGGCGGGGTCAGAGGACTAGAATGTCAGAATGAAAAGAAGCTTTTCAGAACAGACCCTCCATGACGTGAGGCCTGCCCAGAGTCACCAAGAGGTGACCGGCAAACAGGTCTCAAACAGCCATATTTGCCCTCTGGCTGCCCCTCCAGAGGAAAGGGAGCCTTCTGAACTAGTGATATCTGGCCTTTTTGTGGCCAGGGAGGGCCCCCAGTGTGACAACAGTATGATCCGGGTGGCATGTCAGGGAGGGTGACTGAGGGCTCCGGGCTGCTTGCAACCCATGCCTAGAGGCAGGTGGGAAGCACCGGCCTTTTCCGCCTGTACCGCTGCGCGCGTACTCCAGAGGAGGCAATTTATAGGAGCTCTGCAGCCCACACTTCGGGCCCTGAGCAAGGTGCCGCTCCTTCCTAGTCTCAACACGGTAAACACGTTCAAGCCTCCAGTTATTAGTGATTATGCATTCTTTTGCTTAAGTAGGCCAGTGAATTGTGTACGGCTTCTCCGTGAGATCTGCTGCCCACGCATCCTTACGGTGCACACAGTCTGGGTAGGCAGAGTGCTAAGTTGTGGCAGGGGACGCTGTGGTGCAGCGGGCGGACATGGCCACCGGTGGGGTTGTTTGGTTCGGCTGAGCTCCTCAGGGCCTCACAGTGCTTAGTGTTTTCCACCTGTCTGCCTCAGGCTCTGCCAATCTCTGTCTCCCTTCCCCCACCCCCCCTGCGTGCACCCATGCAGCCAGTGGAGACTTTCTCCATCCTCTGGTCCCCAGCGCACAGGCTGACTCTGAGAGCCTGCTCGGTTCTCCCTGTGACCAGCGGTGCATCTCTCTCTGGAGCTTGCTCACCTCAAAGCTTTTGTCCCCGTCTCAGAACTCTGATCCCCTTACTGGTGGTTCAGGTTTCCTGCCCAAGTGTGAGCTGTCAAAGGGCAAGGGTGACGCCTGATTTCCTCCTGCCACTCTGTCTCCGCAGCATTTCCTGAGCTGAATCAAGTCTTAAACCAGACATTGGGCACTTGGGGCTGGGATGGTCAGGTACGAATCCATCCTGGACAGCCAGGAGCCCCTAGTCCGCAGCTGTCTGCGTGGGTTTGTGTGCCAAGTGCTGTATGGACACGGACCACCCATTTCAGCTGGGGCAGGGCAGGCCAAGGCAGCTTTGGTGTTTTTGGTTTTTTTCTCTGGTACCAGGAATCGAACTCACGACCTTGCGCTCGCCAGGCAGGCGCTGTGCTACTGAGCTAAATCCCCAGCCCCTAAGGCAGATTTAAAGGGGAGGTGACACTTGAATGGATATCTAAGAATATGCAAAACTTGCTGTAATAAAGAAGGACAAGTCTTCTAGGCACAGGGGACGCTGATCACAAAAACGTGTGGCAAGTGATGGGTGAGAAGGTAGGTACATTTGAGGACAGGACTGACACAAGAAGGTGAAACTGAGGCCAGGCTACAGTCATTTGTGCAGACTCTAGAGCCAGATGGGCTGGATCCAGATCCTGACAGGTATTCGCCTCATCCTTTCTCTGTGCCTGAGTTTCCTCATCTGTAAGGTGGGGACAACGTGAGTACTTGCAGGCAATATGTAGTACTTTAAGACTTAGATGAATTCATTTTTGTTAAGCCCCACGTGAGTGTCAGATAAATAAGACGAGCTGGAGGGACAGGCAGAGACCATGCGGGCTGGGGCTTGAGTTTTGGCTTCATCCCAGGGGCACTGGAGTACCGATGCCGGTACTAGGAGGGGACTAGGAGCCAGGTATACAAGTAGACTGTGGACTCCAACCCGCCTGCCCCTTGGCCTCCCTGGCCTTCTGCTGCCCCCAGTGGCCCTGTGGCTGCCATCTGTGCATAGGGGGACTGGAGGCCGCAGCCTCACCCATCTGGCACACGCAGGGAAAACTATGGCCCAATTTATTGCCAAAGGAGGGGAAGAGAGGTCCACAGCACCTGAGTTGGGTATCTGAGCCCCACCCTGGCTTAATGGCTGGAGGATCAGAGCAGGAGGGTGTGTTGAGAGGAAATAGATGGGAGCAGGTGGGAGGGGGACAGTGACAGAGCCACTGGAGAACAATTCGGATGGAAGACGTCCCAGCCCAGCCCCCTCCCGTCGCTGTACCTCTGCTCCCACATGGGTAAAACTGAAGTGAAAATAGAGGCCTCCCTCATAGGCGAGGAGGAACAAATGAGATCCAGTGCCCAGGGAGACCTGAGCAATGGTGTGTGTGAGGGAGACCAAGGGCAGTTCTGTAGCATGAGGCAGGGAGATCCAGAGGCCGAGGCTGAAGAGATGGGGTGGGGGGGTGGGGGATGTGTCCTACAAGTTTGGCTTCTGGGCTGCGGGCAGAGGGAGCTATGGGAGGGTTTAGGCAGGGATTTCTAGGTCAGGCTTGCTTTTCAGAGATGGCCTGGGCACTGCTGGGAAAGAGAC